CAATCTTGCAGAATTCATCCATCTACTTCTCTTTACTCAGTTGCACACAATGGACAGGTCATTATCAAAACATTGATGTTATTCAAGTCTAGATAACAATGATAACATATGACAAAAAGAACTGAACTTGAGATGTTATGTCTGCCTGAAAACTCTTCCTTTAAGTATTTATATACATTAACAAGATCCCCTATGAGTCTTCTTATCTCTAGGCTAAACAATCCCAGCTCTTTCTCTCAGCCTTTTTTAATAGGCAAGAGGCTCCAGTCCATCATCTTTGTGGCCTTTAATTGGACTCTCTCCAGTATGTTCATGTCTATCTTGCACTGGGGAGCCCAGAATTGGACACAAGACTCCAGATGTGGCCTCACCAATGCTGGGTTAGAGAGGAAGGATCAGTTCTTGATCTGCTGGCAATACATTGTTTAATGCAGTCCAGGATACAATTCGTCTTCTTTGCTACAAGGGCACATTGTTGGCTCAAGTTCAGCTTGGTGTTCACCAGGACTCCCCATGGCCTTTTCCGGCAAGCTGCTTTCCAGCTGGGTAGCCCCAGCATATATTGGTACATGAGGCTGTAAAAAAGCTAAAATCGGCAAGTCCTCTATAGAAGAAAAAAACTTCACTAGTATGGAAAATTTGATTTATTTCTTAAAACATTCTATATTTCCTGCCTTAAGCTACTACTTCACTTTCCTAGGTACCAATAATGTAACTACATGTTAACCTACTATTGTTGCATTTAAGTAGCAGACAAAATTTTACACATAATTTAACACCCTGGAGTTAAGCCTACAACCATCAATCTATTTTGAGGTTACAACAAAGGACTATACCATTAACAGAAAATCTTCCCTTAATGCTCAGTTCCTGAAGACATGAGCCTGCTGCAAATTTAAACTAGTTGGCAGACTTCCCTCCTAAAAATGACAGACTCCTCTGATTTGTGTGGCACCTTTCCTTCCCAGTTACCACCACCTCCTCTGTCTCCCCATTATTAGTCAACTGCAATACTGGCATACAGCCCATGTTAACAAACCCAGAGCTCCTTATTGCCTTTCTAACGTTGACATATGTCCTTTGAGAGTGGGACCTCAACGATTTGAAAATAAGTCTATCAAAATCTTTTTATAAACAGCAGTAACTTACTGGAGACTTCTTGTGTAAATACTCTAGAACAGTATGTTTAAGATAGCATTTAAGACTAACATAGATTGAACAAAGGAGAATCAGCACCATGCAGCTCAATCCTATTCACTGAAATCCCTTTTGCTAAAAAGACATCCTTTAAGATGTGATGCAACTCAAGATAGCATGGGCATAAAATTCACAGAAAAAGCATTTGGTATTTTTACCACTATGGTATATGTACATCCATCCTATGATAAAACTATGATTACTTTCATTCCCCAAACATTTTAACATGGGGTGCTGTGCTGGTTTTGGCTGAGGTAGAGTTAACTTTCTTCCCAGTGGCTAGTATGGGGCTCTGTTTTGGATTTGTGCTGAATACAGTGATGATAATATAAGAGACGTTTTTGTTGTTACACAGACCCAAGGCTTTTTCTGCTTTTTGTATTGTCACGCTGGCAAGGAATTTGGGGGTACATTGGAAGTTGGGAGGAGACACAGACAGGACAGGTGACTAAGCGAAGGGATATTCCAGACCATATCACATCCTGCTCAGTATATAAAGTGGGGGGAAGAAGGAGGGGAACATTTGGAGTGACGGCGTTTGTCTTCCCAAGTAACTGTTACATGTGATAGGGCCCTGCTCTCCTGGAGATGGCTGAACACCTGTCTGCCCATGGGAAACAGTGAATGAGTTCCTTGTTTTGCACAGCTTTTGCTTTCCCTATCAAACTGTCTTTATTTCAACCCACAAGTTTTCTAGCTTGTACCCTTCTGATTCTCTCCTCAATCTCACTGGTGGGGGACTGAGTGAGTGGCTGCATGGGGCTTGGTTGCTGGCTGGCTGGCACCCAATGTGAGGCTCAAACTCATGATCCTGGGGTTAAGGTGCATATAACACAGTACTGTAAGATGAATAAATATTTTTTTAACATAAGTTTAAGTCTAGTGGCACATTTTCACTTCATAATAAGCCTTAAGTCCTACTCAGTATTGTCCCTATCTTCCTGTTGTCCACCAGTACAAGTCTGAATTATGTTTAGTGATACTTTAAGCTTGGGCTAGTATGCCAGTGTGGATTACAGCTATATTATCTCTGAAAGACCAAATACTTTTGAAACTGGTATCTAATTGAAGAAAAGGTAACTGGGGCACCAAAGACAAAGGTTAATTAGAAGTACCAGCAAATGTGAAAAAAGAACACTCCACTCCTAAGCAATTCTCAAAGCCAACTTATCCATCCACAGCATTCCACCTTCCTTTGCTGTTTTGCACCAGTCTCAAACATCCGGTAAAATCATACACTGCACTTGAATACAAAACTAGCTATAATTGCAAAAGTTCACTTCCATATGGCTACCTAGAAGACTGCATCTTAATCTAAACTCACAGGCACTGTGATTGGCTCTGGACCCTAACTGCTACAATTGCCTTTACCTGTGAAGGCTCACCACACTTAGTAATATTCACACTACTTGATAGCAATACAAAGTTACCAATTCACTCCTAACTACCCAAGAATCTCCCATCTGTGACCTGTCTCCTTAGAGCAGGTACACAGTATGAACATCAGTAAGATGAAACTCAGACGCTCAACAGTTCTTTATCTTCTTAACAGAAACCAAAATCTTAATACAAGGTTGAGACCACACATTTGCACACTTCTCTGTCCAAACATTTCTCAGTGTCCCTATCTCTCCATCAGCATCCACACATTTCAGTCAGCCAGCTTCAAAATGAAAGCATAACTATGCCTCTTCTTCAGCACTGAATCAAGAATGTTAATATTTTTTACACATGCCAATATTAGGTTGTTCATGTCAGAGCACACACACAAAGTAAAGAGGACTAGTATCACCATATTTCACATTTATTTCAGGCTTCTAAATAGATGGATTAATTATTACTTAAATAAGTAACAGTCTTGCATTGTACGCAGGATTATAACCCTAGGCCAAATACCACTAACTAGCACAAAGTACAAAGGTATTGCAATATTCAGAGAAATTTTCTGTATTGGTATTTGCACAATCTAATTCTTTTCCTATTAAATCACAATGTCATTACATTAAGATAAGCTCCCTTTTAGACATTGACTCCTGTGTTTTCTGCTCAAAATATTAAATTCATTCTTATGAAAGGACTGCTTTTGTCTCTTCACTTTCAGACCTGGTAAATATACAAACCATTTAAAGGATACAGTCTTTTACTAATACATAAATGGAATAGTATCTTGTGCTTGTGATAGCAAAAGAAAAAGCTTCTTTCAATCAGTCTTTCCATTTTCTTAAGAATACATTTAGGATTAACTATGAAAACAGTTTTGAACTTGAACTTTATTCCAATTATATGGTTTAAAGGAAATTTCAAATTAGTTGTTCATGTTCTTAAGTCTACAGACCACCTCAGCTCCACAATAAAAGGAATAATAATTTTAAAAAATTAATCTCCATTTCAAAATTGCAGATATGTGGATCTCAGTTTATTATTGACTTAAAGATTATTTACTTACAAAAAAAAAATCCTCTGTTATTTAGAAACTTCTTCATACCCCATGACAACCCAGTTTCAAATTTCACTATAACTGTCGAGTAAAACATAAACATACTGTGAGCACCTAATCTAAAAAAGAACAAAAAGATGAGCTAAATTTAATCCTCTCCTTTAACTATTATACATTGGAGTACATGAAAATTAATTTATTTTATATCCATCTCCAGAAAAGAATAGATTGGGAGTCATTCCAAGACACCCATAAGACTGTGTATTCCTGAAATTATGTCAGGTATGCAATTTTGATTAACTAGTTAACAGTAGCCCACATCTATATTTATTTGTTAATAATCCCTCATATCTCATATTTGTTTTATTCTATTATTTTCCCCATTAACCAAAACTTAGGAGTCAAGGAAGGTCTTTATTATAAACTTATGAAACAAATAATGTAGATTCAAATGTGAACTTCAAGGTGCTACTCCAACACAAGCCAAAAGTGTGAAGATGTTTTTGACTGTATCTGGGTTTTGCCAAGTTAAGTAATTTGATTTCAGAAAAAGTGAAACAATAGATGCTACCAATTACTTTTTAACAGTCTGATACACAATTTGGATGCACAAAGAGTACAAAGACACAAAAGTTTAAGACTGCATATCTATACAAAATGTATGGTTACAGGTCCCTGAGCTCCACGATAAGACCTGCTCCTGATCTTGGATATCCAAGTAGGAGATCTTTTTAAAAGGTGCCTGGTTCTGAAAGTACCTTCTCTACTTTCTGATACATTAATTATAACATTGCTTCAGTGGAATGGGACAGTCCCCTGCATTTTCTGGTGCTTCTACTCTTCCCTTATCTATCCAGTCTCCCATAGGTTGGGTTGGTGTAATTTTAACACATGTTAAAAAGAATTCCATTCTCTCACACTGACATAGAGGGACGCAAAGACTTGGAGAGCAAGCCCCATCTTCACTGAAGGAGAAGGGCCCAGGGACAGCAGACGGTAACTTGCTGGTGTTGTTGACTGCAATTTTAATTTAAGGGCCTTGGGACCTAATGCTGCCTCCTCCATGGTGTCCGACTCCACCTCCCCACCCTCACACCACTGGGGATACAGGGAGGTCCTTACCAGGATAAGAAAATACACCTGCGGACGGGGCAGATAAGCAGAAGGGTCCCAAGCACAACCATCCTGAATGAGCGGGTTGCAGAAGCAACGCCCACACGGGGCGGGGGATGGGAGCAGTCCCGAGCACTCACCCCGAGGGGGCAGGGAGATCCCGGTCAGGAACACGAAATCGGAGCCGAAGAGGGAAGTGACTCCGGGCAAGGACAGAGAGAGGGGCGGGGCAGGGAGGGGTCGCGGTGGTTACCTATACTGGGCAGCAGCCCCACTATGGGTGAATCCAAAGTAGTTACCGGTGGCCATTTTGGCATCTTCTCCCAACCGGCTGGGCACTGTGGCGAAGATAACCAAGAGGCGGCGGCGGTCGGGGCCATGACAGGAGGCCAGGCAGGAGGAGGCGGGGAGAGAAAGGGACAGACAAGAAACAGAAAAAGCGCGCGAGCGCCAGGTCAGACATAGCGCCTCAGGACCCCCGTTCCCCCGCCCCGCGCGCTGGCCGCATCTCCTCACCGCCGCCACCCCGCCCAGCCCCCCGCGCACGGACACCCATAAACACCGAGCGCCGCTGCTTACCATAGGTGAAAGAAACTACCGGGCATATAGGAATCATGAGTGCAAGCTAGCAGCGACAACGGCGGCTGAACTCTCAACTCTCACCCCCCTCCTCACCGCCGCGCGCGCTCGCTCGCTCCCTTCCCCCCACACACCTACAACGACAACAGCAAAGTACAGCCAGCCTAAGGCCGTGCGCACGCGCGAGATGTCTGAAGGGCCACTAGGAGTTGTAGTTCAGCCAATGGCTACGCCCCCGTCCGCAGAAAAGAAGCCCTCGGTGTCGGGTAGGCCGCCATTACATTTGAAGCGCGAATTCTCATGCCTGGGATGTTGCAAAGGCTCTTGGGAGTTTTAGTTCCCATCCCTGAGGCCCAGGCGCGAGGAAGAGCTGCTCTCAGAGGAGTGCTGCACGTACTATCCTGCCTGCCTGTCCCCTCCCTCCCTCCATCATCCCGTGTCACACCTACAGTTGTGAAAAATTGAGGAACTGATTTTATTCCAAGCAAATTAAAATGAACAGTGTTATAAGTTAGTACAAGAATTTAGACAACTCAATTCCAATTAAACATTGATAAATTTATTAAGCAAGCGATAATAAAGCAAAACAGCACTGGGTGGCCTGGAGGGCAAGCGCCCTGCCGAGACACACACTGAAATGTAGTAAATGTTCCTTTTTATACATTTTCAAGTCCCGAGTTTTGAATGCGATTGCTTTATGGCTTGAGTTCGTGGCTTGTTGCTGAGTGGTCATCTGGGATTTGTCAGAGATGAAAGGTGCAATTCTTATCAGTTGTAAATTTTACTGATACTGATACTTGTTTGTTTAGCAAGATGTCTGCAATTATTTTTACTGACACTTGCTTGATTAGCAGGATGTCCATGAAACTTATCTTGTTGAATTATAACAAAAGTTCCTTATTCCCTCATACACATAAGATTTTATGAACAAAGTTAACCCTTCTGTTACACAGAGGGTACTAACAAAAGAACTATTTCTGTATATTTACTAACTTATAGGCGTACCGTGGAGACTGTAAGGTGAAGGGTCCTATCTGGACCTCTCACCAGGGAATCTTTCGCGGCCGGGAACAGGGAACAAATTATGAATAAAAATGTATTCCTCTGTGCCATGTGGATACACAGAGAGACCCTCCATGCCTTGCAATGTGGGGATGATGCAAGACCCCCCTGTACGAGCCCAGGGGAGGTATGTTACAACCAGCCAAAAGATAACACCCACTTCCAAAGCAGAGAAATTACCTTTTAAGGCAACAAGTGGACAGTAAAATGAATATTCAACAACTGATATCAAAGGATACAAAAAGTGCGGTTTTCAAACAGCAGTGTGCTCTTTGCATGATTCAAAGGTGCACCCAGTGCTGGAAATGGGTACCCAGCACTGCAATAAAAATCTCTTGCTATATTTCTTTGTCCTGCAGGTATTTTTTGCCATCTTCAAAATTCCAGAGAAAAAGTAACTTATAACACAGTCACACTGCACCTGTAATCATGGACTCATATTGCAAAAACACAACACACCTGAGTAGGTAGCTCAATTAATAGAAATCTAGGTGAGTCAAGTCTTCGGTCCCTTGCTACATACTGGTGTTCATCCCCACACACTGCATGTGTCAATATTTACCAGCTTTCCCACACAAGCACATTGTCAGCTGAGCACTAACATATGCAGCTGGTATGTAGTTAGTATTCTTGCAAGGGCACAGAGCTAGAAGGCAGCACCTGCAGTTAGCACACATGTGCAGAGTTCACAGCAAGACCTAGGACTTTAACCTAGCAAAAAATTTTAGGTTCACCTGGGCCCTGGAGTGCACCACCACAGCCACACACATGAAGAGCAACATTGCTGTTGTCCAGCTAAAGCCATGTGTACATCATCTGACATGTTCCCAAAGCACCACAGCTGATGCACATCCACAAATAAATTGTGCAATTGTACAGTGAGGTAAAACCTCACCTATATAGGGCCAATTTATCTGAAGTTTTTAAGAACCAGCAGTCCATCAAATTGCTCCTAAAAACTGTTGGGCAGTATATTACAGTCACTGCATTCAAAGTGACTGAATTTGCATCTGTTCCCCATAACCCTCTTCCACTTTTCCTCTGAACAGCAGATGATTCTCAAAACTCTGAACAAAGCAAAACTCAAATCCTTAAATACTTGCATCTTATTTGTGTACTTTGTTCTCCCTCTGATGTGCACTTTTCTAATTGTCTAAAATAATCAAGATTCATAAAACACTCACTTCTGGATTAATTCAAAAGTGATTATGATAGTTTAACCCCAGCTGACAACTAAGCACCATGCAGCTGCTTGCTCACTCCACCAGCAGAATGGGAGAGGGAATCAGAAGGGTAAAAGTGAGACAACTCATGGGTTGAGATAAAGACAGTTTAATAGGGAAAGCAAAAGCTGTGCCCACAAGCAAAGCAAGTAACTCATTCACTGCTTCCCATGGGCAAGCAGGTGTTCAGCCATCTCCAGGAAAGCAGGGCTCCGTCACGCATAATGGTTACTTGGGAAGACAAATGCCATAACTCCAAACCTCCTCCCCCCTTCCTCCTTCTTCCCCCACCTTTATATGCTGAGGGTGACATCATATGGTATGGAATATCCCTTTGGTCAGTTGGAGTTGGCTATCCCAGCTGTGTCCCCTCCCAACTTCTTGGGCACCCACAGCACTGGTGAGGTGGGGTGAGAAACAAAAAAGGCCTTGACGCTGTGTAAGCACTGCTCAGCAATAACTAAAACATCCCTAAATTATCAACACCATTTCCAGCAAAAATCCAAAACATAGTTCCATACTAGTGAAACAGAGCAGGGCCCTGAAGGAGTTAACTCAAAATGCAAGCTCTGGGTAAAGAACTAAAGGAACCAGAATTCAAGGCTAGTGAAAGATAACACCTGGCCAAAGAATGCTAACACACTAACACAAAGAACATAAAGTAAGAACACAGGGAAATAAAGAACACCAAAAATGCTAACACATATACCTAAATAGACATGAGGAAGGGTTTCTTAGGAGATAAGGGGCGAAATAGGGGCATGAGTCCAAAATCTTGCAAAATTTGCCATCAGGAAGACAGCAAACTAAGAAAGTTGAAAAGTTCAAAGCGAGGAAGACTTCTGGAATGAGACCCCCTGAGGATGAAGAAACAGGAACGACCCCTGAAACAGCACCCCAAAAGGACGACTCCGCCCAGACTCCACCCAAATTCCGCCTGCTATGAATATTATAATGAAATGTCACAATAATATGAATATGCATGTAAAAATGATGTAATCTCCCACAAAACTCTATAAATATCTGACTTTACACTGATAACTTTGGGCTAGTTTTGTCCAGCACGAGTTGGCTAGCCCCCAACGTTGCTCTTAAAATAAATACCTTTTGCTGCTTAAAGACTCAAAACTGTCTCTGAGCAGTTTTCAATGCGCCTTTTGGGGCATCACTAGCTACTGTGAAGAAAATCAACTCTACCCTAGCCAAAACCAGCACAGTGATCATTTTAGAAGTATTTGTTTTCCATAAGCCACCCCTATTCCTAACATCCCTGCTTGGGATCTCTGTAGCAGGGAGAATGCTGAAACTGAAACCAGTACACCGTTGAAAACTCAACAAAATAATATTTATTACAGAGAAGTAGCCAACAAAACAAGAAGCCAAGAGACAGGAAAGAGAAGGGAAAAAATAAACCCTCAGTACAACCCCCCACTCACTCAGGTGTTACGAGGTTGTCTTACTGACCCCAGAATGCTTAGAATTACCCATAGCAGAAGCTGCATCCCTGGAGCATCGGCATGCTCACAAGATAGCAGGCGTCCCCACAAAAGGCAAGATTGTCCTCCATGTGAAGCTTAAGTTCCACTCCCAGAAAGAGCTATCTGCTTTTTATACAATTAACCTATGACGTCTACCTGGGCAGGTGTGGCCAGCACTGCCCAGCTAGAGGTCTTTGGTCCCTCCCCCTGTTATGTAAGTGGTACCCCTTCTGCACATGCATGTGTACATTGGAATTTCCTTGCGTCTGCGTGCTATACCTCAGGTGGTCTTTCCTAAATGAGTCTGGGGGCTTACTTCATCATCCTCCTCTTCACTTTCTCCTTCAAATGTCCTTGGAGAGCCATCAGCCAATAGTGAGGCCCCAATTAATTTCAGTTTATATAAGATGCTTCCTTCAAGGACGAAGTTTTCGTTTATCAGTGCTTGTTTTCTCATAACTTGGCAGGAAAAGAACAGAATCTCACAGGTGGCTGGGCCAAAACACAGACCAAAATTAAGAACATCTAATTAAGCATGAATACAATCTCCCACAGTCCTCACAAAATTATGGGTTTCTCTTATCCCACAGTACCAGCAAACATCTTAGTAAGACTTCAACAAAGATATTTTTGTTCATAAAACAAATGATAAGAGGAAAGTCATTTATCATCTAAAGTTTACATTGCAGTTTGTATTTGGTTTACATGGCAAGGTTTTGGTGGTGATGGGGCTGCAGGGGTGGCTTCCATGAGAAGATGCCAGAAGCTTCCCCTATATCCAATAGACAGTGCCAGCCGGCTCCAAGACAGTCCCATTGCTGGCCGAGGCTGAGCCAATCAGCAACGGTGGTAGTGCCTCTGGGATATCATATTTAAGAAGGGGAAAACACTTGCACAACAGCATCTGGGGGAGAGAGGAGTGAGAATATGAGGGAGAAACAACCCTGCAGACACCAAGGTCAGTGAAGAGGGGGAGGGTGCTCCAGGCACCAGAGCAGAGATTCCCCTGCAGCCTGTGGTGAAGACCATGGTGACACACGTCGTCTCCCTTCAGCCCATGGAGGTCCCCAGTGGAACAGATATCCAACCTGCAGCCCATGATGGACCCTATGCCAGAGCGGGTGGATGCACCCAGAGGACCTGTGACCTCATGGAGTCCATGCTGGAGCAGTTCATGAAGAATTGCAGCCTGTGGAAAGGACCCATGTTGGATAAGTTTGTGGAGAACTGTCTCCTGTGGCTGGGACCCCACACTGGAGCAGAGAAAGAACATGAGGAGGAAGAAGCAGCAGAGAAAATGTGTGATAGTAACTGACCACAACCCCCATTCCCCATCCTCCCTGTCCTCCTGGGGGCAGGCAGGGGAGAGAAATCAGGAGTG